GTTTTTTAAATAAATATGATTTATTTGTGTTCTTTTTCCAAACAAGTACAGATTAATTTATCTGTATTAATTAGAGCACAGACTCTTGCAGAAGATCACTAATCACTGGAATGCCTTCATTCTCTCACCTCACTCAAAGAAATAATCTTCCAATATTTGGAAAGGCACAACACCGGCCAAACGTCAATAAAGATGAAGAAAAACATAATAGCCTTGTTGAGTGAAATATTGTTAAGTATTTCCTTTTTCTTCTTCTTTTTGGTTATTTTTATTGGCTGTTGTTGAGTATTTATTGTTTAAAATGCTATTATTTAGTTGTATTCGCACTTCCGCTTTAACGCCTGGCAGTCCAAACTCAGGGATTCAGGTTTGACGCCGTCTGTGACGTCACCAATGAGCGACTCTACCCTTTCACATGGTAGCATGTTAAAGTTGTGACTTCTCCTCGCCAAGGTAGTATAATTCTTACATACTGAAGCTCAAGCTAATGCCACATTGCGTGCGTGAGCTACTGCTAGCCTCAAACTTTACGTGCGTACGTTTTTAACCGCTGTCACGAAGTCAACTGGGGCAAAAAGTAGCACTTTAGCGTCGAGGCTAACCAGTTAGCCACATAGCTAAGACAGTTTGTTTTGAAATCTCCTGAAGGCATGGTCGTCTGTGGTGCGGTATGGAGCATTGGTGCGCAGTCAAACATGTCTGCGCTTCTATTGTAACAATTCAACAAATATCAAGCAAAGTTTGTTTGCAGACCACAAAAAAAAAAACAGTAACAAAATAAATAACCTTATAATAAGTTATAGGAATAATAATAATAAAGTCAGTTCCATTAAGTAACAACCTAAAAAATGGCAAATAAATTGCTTCTGTTTGCTCTTTATAGTGACAAAATAAATTCCTTTATAGTGTTTTTTTCATTGATTTATGTTGCATTTTATTTCATCAGAATGCATCCCTGTAAATTTTTTTGTGTGTGAAAATATACTTACACAAATTATTACTACAAACAGGAATATTTAATGAGCATTCAAGTTATTGGAACTGTATTGGAGGATCTACATGAGAGCGGCATTCCCATTTTCAGTTATTTTACATGTTGAAGTATTAAAATAATAATTACAAAAGAAAAGCAAAGAAAATTTAATAAATCACCCAGGTGAGGTTTTACTCTCATTTAAATTTGAAAAGCAGAAATCAGAGCTGAACTATCTTGAAACCAATATTTATTTTATCCGCACTGAGCTTTCAATTTGAATGACATCATACGCCTATTTTATTACTACCTGATATATTTAAAATGTTTACTAAGGCCATGTTTATATATCAGACCTTCCTAGTCTAAATGTAACATGTGATGTTAAAACAAATTTTTCAAGTTTTTACCTTCCTGAATGTGGTCAGTATGGGCAGCCTGTGGTCTGAGGGCCACTCCTCCTCCATCCTCTGTGTCGGTGCGTCTCCGGGCCCAGAGGGCCTGATCGCTTCTGGTGCCGAGGGCGGAGAGGTGACGGTGTGGACTCGAGGGGGCGCCGTAGTCGGGCGTCTGGCTCTCCCCGGACAGGAGGACGTCACCAGCGCAGCGTTCTCGCCCGCAGCCTCAGCCCACCTGTACGTGTCGCACGGAGACGCGGTGAGCGTGTTCGACCCCCGGAGCCTGAAGGGCCCGGTGGAGGATTTCCGCGGTGCAGGGGAGGAGGAGATTAATGCCGTAGCTCTGAACGAGACTGGTTCGAACGTGGCCGTGGCCGACGACTCTGGGGTGGTGAGGATACTCGAGATTCCGGGTGGGAAAGTGTGCCGGAGTCTCCGCAGACACACAAACATCTGCTCCTCCGTGGCTTTCCGACCTCACAGACCCAATAACCTCGTCTCTGTGGGACTGGACATGCAGGTGAGCAGACGAGATTTAAGAGTGTGAATGTCACTTAATATTTATACCGCTTGACCTTTTCACACTTTATTGTGCTACAACCACCTGATTTAATGTGTTTTATCGAGCACATGATCGCAAGGCGGAAGGAAAACAGTATGTGGTGTTCAAGACTTTTTACCAACATTCTCAAAACTGTGACTTTCTCTAACAAACCTCTGAGGCTTTAGAGAACAGCTGGATTTATTATTGAGATTTAATTACACACAGGTTAACTTTATTTAATACAATCAGGTGATTACTAGGGCAATTAGATTCACTGGGTTTAAATACATGTATAGGTTTCAGATTTGCCTCTGCAAAATATGATGTAAAATTCTCATTTTACGTCATAATTTTACTTTGTGTACGTAAAATGATGACCATTTTATGTCATCATCACTTCATTAATAAAGCTCTACTTTGTGTTGGTTACAGCTGGACAGTATTGCTTAAAAATAACATTTCAGATTTGTTTATACCAAATTTGATTTTTGATTTCAAATCTTTTTCCCACCCTCACTTTTTTCCTTATATTTTCTATACAAATTATAGAAAATATATTTTCATAAAAAGTGGCTTTTGTTTTGATAATTCCTTCTGTGACTTGATCTGAATTCAAAGTCAAAATAAATAGAAGCTCTGAAAGACGCTCGTTAAAACCCACACTGTGGAAACCCGAGAAAATTCCACACTATCCAAAAGTGAAATCTTCAAAAACAGAGAATTTGATTAATCTGTACAGTCGATTTATCGCCCAGACCTAGTGTAGGTCTAAAAGTTTGTCACAATGTGGCATAATATAAAAAGTTCAGGAGTAATAGATACTTTGATAACGCTCTGCTGGTCAGCCCTTCATATCCGTCTACTTTGCTGTTCCAGGTGATTCTGTGGGGTCTGCAGAAGACCCGCCCACTGTGGACTCTCAACCTGCAGGACGCGGCAGAAGAAGCGGGCGACCAGCAGCAGCGGCCGGGCCAGCTCTTCAACCCCCCTCTGGCTCACTGCGTTTCAGTGTCGGGCTGCGGCAACGTTCTGGGCTGCGCCGCCGAGGACGGCCGGGTCCACTTGATGCGGATCGGCGGCGGCTCCAAACTGGAGCAGCAGGGAGCCATCAAGGCTCACAGTCAGGGAGCCTCCCAGGCCCACTTCATCAGCTTCCTCTCCCACCCTCACTGGATGGTCACCGGGGGAAACGACGGCCTCGTGGCCCTCTGGGACCTCAGCAAGCACCCGGTGGTGAATCCGGAGGGAAAAACGCAAACGACGGCTCCTCAGCGCCGCAAAGGTAAGAGCGGCAGGAGGAGAAGAGAGCAGGAGAAATCGAAGCAGAAGGCAGACGAGGAGGACGAAGCAGCTGCGAAGGATCAGGGGACACCGACGGAGGAGGAGACGACGTCTGGACCCAAACTGAGCATCAGCCACGGGGACAAGGTGAACTGGCTGTGCCCCGCTGTGCTGAAAGGAGAACCAAGCGTGATAGTTGCAGATCAGAGCACCAATCTGACCGTCTACCCTCTGTCTCAGCTTTAGATCCAACCATGCTACTTTTTCTTCTGTTGAAAAAAGAAATGAACATTTTATTTGGTGAATACTTTTTTTTTCCTCCAAATTTTATTTGACTTTCAGGTCGCTCTTCATTTGGTTTCTGTCATTAAAACTAGATGCAAACGTTAATATACGGCTTCAATATGGATTATGCCTTTTTGCATGTGTGTGGGCTCCTTTGAAATAAACTCCTTGAAATAAATGTCTTAAAAATGGTTTTATTGACTGTAAAATGACCACATCTGACTTGGAGAAATTTACATTAATCGTTGTCTGCAGCTGCTTTTTACAGAGTGAAATAAAAAATAACACCAGATGTTAAAATGAAGGCAGGAAAAAAAAAGCTGTTCCAGATAATATTTGATTCAAAGCAGCACATGTTTTTATATTATTAAGTTATTTATAAATACATATATATATATATATATATATATTCCTCTTCACATTATTGCACTCCCTGGTGAGAAGGCTGTAAAAATAAATCTAGCTTTGGTTACTTTTAACCCTTCTGTGGTTTCAGCGCAACGCTCAGAAGATGTCACGCTCAAACAGCAGAGAAGCGGGGGGCTTGTCCCATCAGACTGTCAGTACCCGAAACCACACACAAAAGAAAAACCTCATAAAGGTGCGGACCACACACAGGGATGACAACATCTCTGAGGAGGGTTTCAGTGAGTTAGAGAAATTTAACCTTTATTTATTTTGAAAGGAGGAAACCTTAAAACAAAATTAGGTTTTAGAGCTGCTGATGACTCTTTTCTCTTTGTTTTCAGGTCATTTGACTTCATGACTTTTAAACAATGTTGACAATAAGAAACAGTCACACCATCACAGGTCCTCCACCATGTTCAAGAGGGAATATGAGGTCCTTTGTTTCAGGCCTGACCCAACTGCTGTGTTTGCTGCTCGGATTCAATGTCAATGTAATCTGACCACATCTGCTAAAGTTTAGCAAACTGCATGTTTACGTTAGAGATGGTAGGAAAGAAAAAAATGTGTCCTTGCATCTCTCCCAGATAAAGTTGGCACGAAGACAATATCTGATGGATTTTGAGACCAAATGACCGCTGGATGATCTGAGCGCTGCAGTTCTCTAAAAGCTGTGGTCAATTTTCTACCTCCATCACCATCCTTCAAAATAAAGGTGGGTTCTTGTCCTGCTTTTTGTCAATTACTGCTCTGACTGTAGATGTCAAAACAAAAAAGTAGTTTAACCTTTAATTGCTCCAATTGTCAATAATAGGTATTTCCCGTTGCCATTTCCAAACAAAACTAATTGAATAACATGCTCTCTTGTCTTTCCTATTTTGAAGAGACATGTCACTAATTGGTAGTTTGAGGCACTCTGAACTTTAAGAAGTACAAAGTATTTAAAGTGCAAAACGGCATCAGTGATTCCAGGCTGGATTTTTCTCAATTTTCAGTGAGATTATGATGCAATAAAAAGTTTTAACACTTCCAACATTTAAATCTTGTATAAACTATCACACCATTCAATACTTACCCTTTCTTTACCAATTTACGAAACCACACAGAATCTTTTTCACACGTTTCATTCAAACAAAAGTTTCTTTTTTACTAAGGCAAGACAACAGTAAACGCATACATTCATTTTAAACGTTCAAACAACTGAGCAATTTCTTCTGCAAAACGACAGATTGAAAATAAGGACGACGAGGAAAGGAACAGGGCAAACAGCCCGAGTTAAACAAGAAACGCAATGCACACCCGTCTATTTTTCACAAGGCAGTTTACAGCTTTTCTCTTTAATAACGGCAGCCACACAACAGCAAAGTCTGCTCTTGCAGATTTCACAAAGAAGCGAAGCAAAACTTTGCGCCGAACAAGCCGGATCAGAGGAACCATAATGTCCACAATTACCCAAATGTCTGTTAAACTCGTGAGTCTGGATGATTTCCCACGTTTGAAAGATCTTTTTTGTGGTGCACGGATGTTTAAGTGGAGTTAAAAGGCTGAGGTTGCACAGAGCCAGGGAAGCGTCTCGTCTCCCCTCCTCTGATTATCGAGGACGACGGCAGACGCTCCCTGTCTGAGGTTTGTGCCTGTTGAGGCAGAAGTGCGTCCGGTGAGTCGAGCTGCGGCGTTTACAGCTTAGCCAGGCTCTTCTCCAGGCTCTCGATGTCACTGTCCCCGTCCTTGCCCTTGCTGCCGCGGGCGCTGCACTCCAGGAACTCCACCTTCATGGGCAGCTGGCTGAACTCGAAATCCTTGCCTTTTTTCCCCAGATACACGCTGCCACCTACAGAGCCGTCCTGGGCGCTCAGAGCTGCAGAGCGGGTCACTCTCAGCGTGTTCCTGTGGGGAAAAACAGCAGCGTTTATTAGTAAAATGCCTCTTTAGTTTGAGTTGAAAGTTTACGGTTCGTTCACAGGTTGTCGAATTCAAGCAATTCTTTGGTCTCTGATAGACCTGGACGTTGACCCATTTCACGTTGCAAAACGTATCTTCCTTCATCTGCCTTCATCCCAATCCTAATCCATAGGGTTTAATATAAAGCTGCCCCACCCTTTGAAGCTGTGGCAACATCTGGGAAGGCTTTCCACAAGGGTTAGGTGTGTTTGCGGGAATATTTTGCCGTTCTTTCATTCTTGAGGTCAGACACTGGCGTTGGACGAGGAGCCCTGATCAGAAGTCTCTGCTGTAATTCATGAGGCCAAGACTCTGCCTGTAGTTCCTCATTGCCAAACTTGATCATCCGCGTCTTTATGGACTTTGATCTGAGTAACTGGTGCAAAGTCAAGTTGGATCAAGGAGAAAGTATCTTCAAAATGGTACTGCAGGGTTGGAAAAAGGAAGTTGTCCAAAAGGTCTTGGTAAACAGAAGCATAAGGAGTTCCTTTCACTGCAAAACGACAGATTGCAGTGAAAGGTTTTCCAGACTGGATTTTTTTTTTTTTTTTTTTGCAAAAGCCTGTTTCAATGATTGATGTATTCAAACTAATACTTATGGCATTACATTAGTTATGTCTTATTTACATGCAGAAATTAGGATGAAGCAAGGTGAATACTAGCAGGCGTCAATGCAGACATTGTGAATTTGTAAAAGCGGGTTAAGACGTCATCAGCGAGACCGTTAACATTAAAGGTGGAAGTTTTTATTTTGAAATAGACACTTACAGTTCCTTCTCCAGCTGCTGCTGAATCAGTTTAGCAGATTTTGCCATCGCAACATCTACGCAGAAGAAGAGATAATTTAATGAGGTCACTGTGTTACAGATAGATGGTGTAGGATAAAATATCACACAAAGAGTAGGTAAAAGAAAAAATTTTAAAAAAAAAGTGTTGAGTCACCTTGTTTGTTGCATACCACCAGCAGAGTTGGAGCGATTCTGTAGACCACCGGGTCCGTCAACAGCATGTAGAGGAACTCGGCCACATCTCTTACCTCCTTCTGGAAGATGGCGCTGTCCACCACAAACACGATAGCTCTGGAAAGACAACAGGTGAGTTAATCCAGTGATGATCACAACAGGATTTTAAATTGCAGGGGAATTCAGTTTTAAAAACTTAAATATTTTAGAAATTGTAACGTTTTAAATGTCAAGGTTTGGACAGGTTTAACTGATTTTTCATGATCCCAACAACATGAGGAGAAAAGTGTGAAGACGGAGCCACACAGGAGGGTCTCACCTGGCTGCAGACTTGAACTTCTCCAGGTACTGAGACCGCAGACTGTCATGTCCCGGCAGGTCTATCAGAGTCCAGGTGCAGTTCTGAAAGGAAGGAGGAAAACTGTGGATCACTGTCAACATACACAGACAACAAAGCAGCGTATTAAGAAAAAAAAACAAATCACACCACTTCTGGTGATTTTTATAACCACCAACTCCAAGTTGGCCAACACAGAGTACTACACAACTATAAATTAAGGGCGGAGGGGATATGTGGTTTTCTAAATGTTTTAAGAGATGAAAATCTCAAATGTGTGGTGTGCATTTTTGCCCTGCCCCTTTTACTCTCATACCCTAAATAACATCCAGTAAAAAAAAAATAATCATACCTTTAATGATATTAACATTTATGCAAGGCATTGTTGCAGCAGTCTGTGACTTACTCTGTCGTTTTTAGCTTTGTATGGAGCGCTGCTGTCTGTGATGGAGGTCTGTGTGCGCTTGAACTTCCCTGACAGCAGCTGGAGAGACATAAACACAACACAGTATAAAATAAAGGAACCCTCCAGCAGTCATTATTATCTTGATGTCCTGTTGAGAGCAACGTGGCCAGGGCTCACCCGGATAAACAGAAGGGTTTTCCCAGAGTCACACAGTCCCACCAGCAGCACGGCGCTCCGGACTGTTTTACTGGTTAAAAAGTACTTCAAGAAGACTGAAATAAATTAGAAAATTAAATGTGAGTTTGGTAGTCAGTGAGCAAAAGCAGCAGTTTGAATGACTTCCTTGTTCGTGTTTGTTTAAACAATAAGCTTACAGTTTTAATCTAAGGTTGTTTAAAATGCTGAAGATAGAGTATAAGTTGTTCCTGAGAGGACAGCTTTATATTTTGCCTGAGTTTTTCACTCGCTAAGCTACATGCTAAAGCTAGCCTGCTAAGCTAACAAGCTAACGCGCGCTGCAAGTTCCTACCGCAGGTGATGACAACCACCGCCAGAGCCACGATCACTCCAACCAGAACCACGGGGTCCTGCTCCTCCAGCTGCTGCCGAAGGGACTCGATGTAAGGCTCCAACGGGTTCTCTGTCATCTCCGCGTCCGTTTTCTCCAGGTCCGTTACAGTGTATCGGCGAGCCCGTTCAAGCTAATCTGAGATGGGACACGTCTCCTTTTGGAAGCTGTAGGGAGAGCGAAGGGCCACCAGGGGGCGCCGCGGAGCTGAGAGTGAGACTATTATTAGAGGGTCAGAAGTGGGTAGAGTAGCCAAAAATTGTATCGGGTTATTTTTGCTTTTGTAAAATTAAAAAAGGTAACTGTCCAAGATATTACTGTAAGAGAGAGAGAGAAAAAAAAAATCATAAATAGGTTACTCAATAATGAGTAGCTAATCACAACATGGATGCTAAAATGAAAACAAATAAATAACATAATTACAAAATAAGAAATTTAGGCAGAGGAAACATTTTCCAAATAATTTTTTTTCAACTAAAAACTTATTAAACTAGTACTAGGGAGAGCATATGTTAAAACAGGATAAAGTACTGTGTGCTGAACTCACACCAGGTGATTCACGTGTTAGTAGACGGCCAGGAGACAACTAGTAAAGGGCATTTCTCTTATCAAATATATTTTATAAATGGATTTTTGTAATTGAAATACAATAAAATGGAAAACAACTAATAAACTCATCTTAATGCTACACTCAAAAAGATTTAGCAACAAATAAAACATGGAGGAAACTTACATTACTAGCTAATATACATACATTAATGCTACACTCAAAGATTACATGGGTCTACATTTTATTATCAACCAAAGAAAAAGACACATTTGTCTTCCAAATGCAATAAACACTTACAAAGATGAAAGTTTTTCCAACTACAAGGCGTACATTACGATTGTTAGAGAGTCGTTGATGTTTGGTGTGTGTTTACTTTCTCCTAAATGACTAAATTCTTGTTCACAAGGTTACCAAAAAAAAAAAAAAAAAAAACGTCGAAGATAGTGTGCTGCTGCTAGGAGCTCTCACTCGGTCATGTTTCTGCAAATATAATGTGACATAGATCGTTTATAACACATACGTAACACTCTGGTCTAATTTCAAACTCCAAAGCATTAAACACTTTTTAGCATGAATTTTGTCATGAATTTTGCCATGAACATATTTACTAACTTATCAATGTAGCATAGGGTTAGGGTAAACTAACCTACAGTATTTGATCGAATGACATGAAATACTCCTAAAAGCATTTTTTTCTCTCAAAAATTAATTGCACAGTGCGGAAGATACTGGGTCACTTTTTTAAATCGATTTTCTCGAAAGTTTGACTTTTTTTCTTAATTAATTTTTTCCCCTCAAAATTTTCTTATTTTTGAAATATATATTTTTTCCTCTACTTGCATCATCTCACCCAGTCTGTAACACCCTATCGAGGGCATATTTAAATCAACAGGCTAGGCAGTTAGTTCGTTTGCAATGTCTGTATTCATGCCGATCAATATAATAATGAAGGCAAACACATTGCTAAATGTCATACCAAATGTGATACTCTTTTTAAATTATTCCTCATCAGCCTTGGGAGTTTTTGGTTCTCAATAGAGACCAGATGCGCTTTGACGCACGTCTCCAGCTTCGGCGCGCTTTTTTATTCGCTCTCTGGATATTTGACTCCTCGGCTCTCGGCACCATGTCAAACGTCAGAGAGCCCAGTTATTCTATAGGAAGAGGTTGTGTGTCATTCATACCGTACTCTTGAAGGGGGGCACGCTCGTTGTTGTTTTTTTTTCTTCTTCTTCTTTTTTTTTTAATCGGGAGCAGGAGGTGGCAAACTCCTTCTGATGGTTTCATCGGGAGCTCTGTAGGGTTTCCTGTTTCCATTTCTAGGCTGTGACGGGATTTACTTGAAAAACCAATCTGTTTCTGTGGGATATCTCCGTCAGGGATCATTTCAAAGAAAGAAGATGGCTCTGGGTTACCTCTACGCGCTGTGCGTGTGGATAGGTTTGTTGCATCCCTCACTTGGAACCGGGTTCGTTTATCGCTTTCCAGGGATCACCCTGCAGCGGCACCGTATCCACTCCGAACAGGGCAGCAGTACGGGTCCGCCGGGTGCAGGGTCCTCACTTAGGTGCGCCCTGGCTGCAATTTACGCGCATCGCAGCATCTTTTCCCTTTCCGTATTGTGTCTTGTCTGTCAGCTGTTATCAGTAAGAATTGCATCTCTCTTTGCGTTTTAGGAACTGGTGTCAGTACACTGCTACCAGGACAGTGCCCTGCAAAGTGCACAATGGGACTGAAACCTCAGTGCAGAGGGTGATGCAGGGCTGCCGGTGGCCTGGACCGTGCAGCAAAGTCATCAGGTAGAATCCTCCAACATGCATCCCTCACTCAGTTCCACCTCTCAGCAACATTTTCTGTTCGGAGATTTGATCGGGATTTCTTCTGTTTAAAAAAAAAAAAAGAAAAAATCATGGAGTCCTGCGCAAAGCAGGGGCGTATTTAGTGTGACAACGGCCTGGGGTTGTTGTTTCCCTAGAATATGTTTCTATCTCTTGCAGTTTTTCATAAAAAAAAGGTGGAAATTCTCAAATTCTCTTTTAAAAGCTGAAGCTATATTTGTAATTTGCTTACAAATATATCCACAAAAGGTATTAAGTAGCTTCTCAACAACACCTGATGAACAAAACGACAACATAACAAGAAAACCTTCAGAGAACATTCAAGCTCAAGGTTGGTGGAACATTGAGAAATGATCTTCCAGTGTTTGTTGTAGGACTAAAGAACCATTCAGGAACCATTTCATCAACCTTTAGACGGGGTTAATGCAACTACATTTAGTGTAATAAGTTCAGCAGAGCTAATTTGAAGCTGTAAAATCTGTAAAATGTTTTTTTTTTTTTAAGTCAAAAGGAACCTTTAAAAATATTTCTTGGTTGTTGACAAAAGGCTGTTCTGCCGGGTTTTTAAATAAACATCAAGAGAACCTTTAAGGAAAGTTCCCTGAACATTCCCAAGCTGTTACATTTAGGGTACATCTGCTGAATGTTCAGGTTACATTATGGAAGATGTTGATGTCCACCATGGGACATTTAAGTGCTCCCTGAAGGTATTCTAAATGTTACATCACTAAAGTTGTAGGGAACGATCCCTTAAGATAGATATGCTCTAAGAAACCTGGAGAACAATCTTTGAAGTTCTCGAATCAGCACATTGTCAGTGTTGCACCTATCCTTTAGAGAGCTCTCAGGTAATGTTCACAAAAGACTCTCTAAATGTTGTGTTGTTAAAAGATTAGCTGACAGTCCTCAGGTAATCTTTTGTGAACAATACTCCAGGTTTTCTAAAGCTTTCATGTTAAAAGTTGTAGATAACCTTCAGAGAACTGGATATTCTCCAAAGTTTACATTGTGAAAGATCTGTTCTCTGGCTCCATGTCCAACAGAGAACTTTATTAGGATATTCCTGGAAGTGAAAGATGTATTTAACACACAGGGAACCCCTAAAAGAACATTGCTCGTGAGATAGCAATGTTGAAATTAACCTTCTGAAAACTTTTGGGAAGCATTTCCGGAAGGTTCTCTAAAAATAATAGCTTTAAGAGATCCTTTAGGGTTCATTCCCAGAAGGTTCCCTGAAGGTCAAGACATAGTGGAACCTCAGTGAGTGTTCCCTGAAGGTTTTCTAAAAGTTGTACCATTCAGGGAACCTTTAGGAAAGTTTCCCCTCATGTCCTAGAAAACGGGTCAACCGCTTTCTGAAGGTTACACTGTGAAAGTTGTGGGTAAACTCCAGGGAACATTTAGAGCACATTCCCTTCCCTAATAGTTCCCAGAAATCAACCTTCGGAGATTTTTAGGAAACATTCCCTGAAGGTTCTCTAAAGGTTACAGTTTTAATCTCCAGAAATTTCCCTCATAGTTTCCAGGAGGTCAATGTAGAACCTTTAACCTTTAGGAAATGTTCTCCACGGGTTCCTCTGGTTAAAGTTCACTGGATCTCTGCTCAAAGTGTCAACCTCAATTAGTCTGAATCTTTGCTTGTTGTTTTCCTTTCATCCAGACCTAGTTTTTGTCCCTCTAATCATTTATGCCAAAAAACAAATCAGATTGGCACATTTTCTGCTTCGATAACGTTTCCGTTTCGTTCTGCGCAGCTACAGAACCGTTATCAAGCCGTCGTTTAAGATCACTTACAAGCAAATCACGGCTCTGGAGTGGAGGTGCTGCCCTGGATTTGTGGGGATGGAGTGTCGCGAAGGTGAGTTTTGTTGTTTTTTTTCTTTTTAAAAGTCAGTCTTTGGGAACAGAGTTATCAGAGACAAGTTTTCTCAAGGACCACATCTGTGTGTTTTTAGCAGCACCAGGCATCTCTACCCACATCAGTGCCCTTTTTATGTGAGGTGGTATGTATCTGGTTAGCTCGCTAATCACCCCACTGTACTCTGAACCAGTCGGCCTCTTAAAAGTGGGCTTGAATTAAGAGGGAGAGTCTGCATTTGATTACTTTCAG